AATTTTGGAAGCACCTCGTACTATGGATGACTTACATAACATAGAGCAACGCGGAAAAACGGATACAGATTGGCTGGTGAAGCATTATGAGTGGGTCATGAAGTGAGAGGATCGACATCGGCGCCTTACCCATAGAGAGCCCATTTATGTTGATGACTTGACGGTTGCAGATGATTATTATGAGTGGTTTAACAGCAATGGGAAACTATTTCTGCTTTCTGAGGATGCACGAGGATGGAGTATTCATCGATGTCGACAGAGACGTGCACCGTCACAACCCCATCGTCCCCCGACTCATGGACGAAGAGCAGGTGTTTTTGGTTCGTCAAGAGCTGCACCACCAAAACCTTCACAGCAACCACCATCTGCAGCGACTTACACCCCGCAGCCATATCTGATGTCGCTGCCATCTTTCCCTTACCAGATGTCACCGCCGCCACCGTCAAAGAGTTATATGACCCCTCTTGGAGGATAATATGGGTCTATGTTTGCATATCCAACTTGAGGTTCATATGCTATTTATTTGGCGGGTGCATCCTCATCATCGATGGTCGCCGCACAGACACCTCTTGTACAGTTTTTTCATTCATCAATGTCTGTATTTTCTGAGTTTTCTGAGTTTTTTATGAGCGATGGGTTAGTCAACCATACACCTCTAGGGACCTTATTCTATGGAGGTGCTACATCTTGATCAGTTCCTCATCAATAAAATGTCTCTGCTCCTGACGACGACGAATATGATGATGGTGATGATGATGATAGTGAGGAGTCACAACCAATTATACGAAGAAATCCTCATCGAGACCGACAGCCACCGCCCTGCGGAACACATTCGCACCGCAGACATCGATAGTTTTTTATATTTTATTATATTTGTATTTACTTTTTTATTGGACTTTTTTATTGTAATTTTTTTTTATTATTTATCATTTAATACTTAATTTATTTTGTTAATTTTTTTGGACTTTTTATTAATTATTTTTGTTATTTTTGTTTATTGCCATTTAATACTAGTTATTGTAATTTTTTTATTATTTACCATTTAATACTTATTGTAAGTTTGTTGTATTTAAAATTATATTAAAATACGAAATTGCTATTAGTTGAATAAAATTTAATAATTGTGTTTGATAACTTTCTTAAGTTTGTCACTTATTATCTCTTTTATTATAATCACATATAACGGCAACGTCGAATATCGTTTTCATTTAATTGTTTTTTAATCGTCATTAGTGGTTATCAAATGACATTAACTATCAGTGGTTATTATTTGATAAACAACAACTACATCAATTTCTCATCAATGGTTACTTGATGACAAAATAAGTGGACATGTTCTTTTAGTGTGTCCTGAGTTTCTACAATGCCCATGTTTTTTGTCGTGTCTACATGTTTCTTGAATATCCATATCACAATGAATTCGAGTGGATTTTGGAAGACCATGCTCCCTCAATAAAGTCAGATCTGGTACAATTGGAACCCAATTTTGAACATCATCAGCGTCTCTGTCATTACCTATGGGAGAACTCAAATTCGTATACCTTAAACACTTCTGATAGTAGGTATACGGGATCCAAAAAACGGTTATAGTCTTGACAGGTATGCAAGCAAGCTGCTATCACATGAGAGCATGGATAATTCAGAGCTTGAAAAACCCGCAGTCGCACCATCTGTACCGTATATTTACTCTTAACGACACAACTTCAATCCCTTGAAGAGGTCGCGGCAACTCTGTGACACGAAACAATTCATGCGTTATAGAGAAGCTTGTTACAAACATTCCATTTGATGCAACAATTGTTTTTTTATAGATCTTTAAATAATATAGGGTGATAGACATGACCGCCTTGCATCCATGTTTGAGCTTGTCCCCCGAGCTTCGCAAAAAGTGCCCCCAAACAAAAATATATAGTTTTTACCAAAGCCGCTACAGGTAAGTGACGTGCACCCTTTTGGTCGAATTGATTGCCTCAGCCAAGTTGGTCGTCATGTGTCCATATCGATATCCACCATCATATGCGTTGGTCCACATTTCCTTATCGATGAGGCTGATGTAATCGTATCCTTCCTCGTTATTCGCCCGCAAATCTTGAAACATGGATTCAAATGTTCGAGGTAGTAGTTCGTAATCTGAGCATAAAATGTATAACTTACTAACTTTGTTTCTTTAAAAAATGAAATTGATTGAAAGAAAAAAAACTACAGCAGTTTCACTTAGCCATGCGCACAAGTAATTGATGCTTTAAAAATGAAATTGATTGAAAGAAGAAAAAAAACTACAGCAGTTTCACTTACCCATGCGCACAAGTAATTGATGCTCATCATTCTTCTTGATCCTTCCATGGTAGTTCGCAGTAATGTATCGGATACAATACCTATGTTAGACAAAGGGTGGTTTCCACATTGGACCTAAAGACTCCATTGCTGCTTTGATCCCAGCTCCGCGATCTGAAATGACAGATTTCTCCCTCGTGATAACATATAAACGTAAGTTTTAGAGGAAAAGACCTAAGAATTTGTATATTCTCTTTCAACAAGAGCAAAAGCAACAGGAAGAATGTTGCGATTACCATCTTGGACAATTGTCAATAGTAAAACTTGCTTGTATTTTCCATACAAGAAAGTCTCGTCGATCTGGACCACAGGCTTGCAGTATTTGATAGCATGAAGGCACTGTGGATAAGTCCAAAATACCCGGTAGAATTGGCATCGATCACGAAGAACTCGATCATTATGGTATGCATGAGAGGTTTCGAAGTCCACAATTATCCCAGGATTCAACCTCCACACCACCCTAAACCAACTTGGAAGTTCGTTGTAAGATGCATCCCATTCGCCGTGAAGTTTTTTAATGGCATTCTTTTTTGCCATCAATGCTTTTTTGTATGAGACGAAATACCCATACTGCGATTGTATAGCTGAAATCAACACAGCAATAACTATATGTGAGCTTGCTTTTACCATGGGCATGATGGCTTGGCAGATCACTTTAGAGTCAAGTTGGGATGATCTTGGTTGATCCCTCCAGTACAACATGTGTAAGGACCGTTGTATACCGTTAGTTCCCATATATTGTTTTTTCTCTTCCTCTTCGATACGTGAACCATCCAATTGCATCCGTTTTCACGTCGGGCATAGTGTTATACATATTTTTCTTTCGTAGAGCGGGCGACTCTGGATTGAACAGAATTACGGATATTGTAATTTTTTATAGCCATCATCGCTTCTTTTTTGCTTGAAAACTCCATGCCTAAAGATAACTCACCATTATTTATTGATGAGTAAAATCCATAGCCACCGAGATGAGGTATATCCGGAAATTCTGACCCGTACATTGCACCATAGTCAGCTTCATATATGTGTGCTGGAAGCTCAGTTTGTGCCACATTTGAGGGAACTTCATCTACATCATCATCATCATCGGAGTTGAACTGCGGTGATTCTAGGTTAATGAATAGTCTAGTCTCAGCACCATCCGCACCTGGCTCACGAAGCGGTTATTCTGGTAAAGATGATGGTTCCTCCATGCTCTCCACATTTAGGTCGAAGAACCTACTACTTGCATGCCTTCCCCTTGAACTAGAAGGCATATCGACATTGAGATCGAAAAAGATCGCAGTCGAATGGCTTCCCTGGAGCTTGAAGCCATCATGTCAAATAGAAACTGCACAGATTGTTGCGTCGAGGGCATCTCCATATTAAGGTCAAAGAAATTGGCAGATGAATGTCTTCCCCTTAAACTAGACGCGATGTTGCCATACGGATTGTTCGTGGACCCACCTCGGTACATATCGTAAGGAGTTGTTGATGAATGTCTCCCCATTGAAGTTGATGGGACGGTACCATGATGCGGATTTCCCATTATGGCATTAAAATCATTACACATTGTTGTAGTCGGGCTGTCAACTTGATCAGCTTGTTCAGCTAGCCCATAGTGGGAGCTTAATGATAAACCTCGAACAACACGCACTTCAACAAACTTTACATGCATCTAGGTAGCGACTTCTAAATAATTATTTTGAGAATCAACCATCATTTCAACATCATCATTGTTCGATAGTTCGAACGTTGTATAAGTTAATGGCAACAATGATGTTGGAAATATGTACTGAAGCGACGACATTCTTCTAGTACTTCCAACATAAACCTTCCTTGAAATCATCGTTATCAGCTCCTCAAGAGTTACGTTTTTCTTGAAGGATATTTTAACATAATGATTTGATGCAAAAATAACGTCGGTTTCATCTTCCCGAATTTCTCCATCATAATAGACAATGGCTGAAATCCGCGCCATTCTTAGATTTTGAAAGTGAGACAATCTTATATCTGTAAAAAATAAACCTGAAATAAGTCTAATTAAATAAATAATATATAAATTAAAATATAAGGAAATACAATTTTTACACAAAAACGTAAATAATTTAAATAATATAATTTTATATTATTACTGTATCGGTAAAAATATTTCGACATATGCTCCCGTTTTCCAATTTTACAACCACAAAAATTAATTGAAAACAATTAGTATAATATTTTTTTTCCAAATAATCATATATAATTATAAAAATAATTCCTTATAACGAAAGATCGATCGAACTTCTGAATCAAATATAAGAGGATTGTCGGGTGATATTTTCGAATTGAAAGGATTATTGTACTAATTTTTCGGTTGTACAGTTGTTGTGTGAAAGTTTACGGGGGAGAGGGTATTTATAGCAGAGAGGAAACGCTTTAAAGCCGAGAACAACATATACAATTATACAAGGCGCGACCCATACACCGCGACTTGCCCAACACATCGTCATGTCAGCATAAAACGAGGTACATGGTCGCGCCTTACCACACGTGACGCCAGAATAATGAAATAAAATTTTTAAAGATAATTTTTGGAAAAAATCGTCGAAGAGCCATCTTAAAATATATATTAATCTCAATAAATAAAAATAAAGATTAAATTAACAAAAATGTAAGTTAGTCTGGATCAGCTGTACCCATGTCGTAATTAGATTTCACTTCCCACGTGCTTGTCATCGTGCTTTGAAGCTGATAAATTTTCTCAGTTTGCTGCAGTCACAATTCCATTTTCTCATCTTCCAAACAGACCTTCCTCTCAAAGATGTCCAGTCTTTCTTCAAAACCCTACCAAGTCGGCTATGCTTTAACTCCAAAAAAGGAGAAAACTTTCATCCTACCTTCCCTCCTTTCCCACGCCTCCCAGATTGGGGTTACTTTGACGAAAATCGATCCCAGCAAACCTTTGATCCAACAAGGACCGTTCGATTGCATCCTCCACAAGTTGTACGACTCCGATTGGAAACAAAATCTTCAAGACTTCGCTTCCCAAAACCCTAACATCCCCATCATCGACTCCCCAGGTTCCATCGAGATTCTCCACAGTAGAATCTCAATGCTCGAAACTGTTTCAAAACTGAGAATAAGCAACATCGGAGTCCCCAAACAGATTACCATCACGGAAGTTACGAATTCGGAAAATCTGGGAATCAACTTCCCGTCGATCGCGAAGCCGTTAGACGCGGACGGTAGTGAGACGTCGCATAAAATGCATCTCGTCTTCGAAAAAGATGGGTTAAAGAACTTACCGCTGCCGTTTGTTTTACAGGAGTTTGTTAATCACGGTGGCGTAATCTTTAAGGTCTACGTTGCCGGAAAATATTCCCGGTGCGTGAAACGGAAGTCGTTGCCTGATATTTCGGAGGAGAAACTTGTAAATTTGCAAGGTTCGCTGCCGTTTTCACAGGTTTCGAATCTGACTGCTGCTGGTGGCGGTGCCGAAGGTTGTGAGTTCGAAAAGACGGAAATGCCCCCGGAAAATCTAGTAAAGGAGTTGGTGGAAGGGCTAAAGGAGGAGTTGAGGTTGAATTTGTTTAACTTTGATGTGATTAGGGATATCAAAAACAAGGATAATTACATGGTCATTGATGTCAATTATTTTCCGGGGTACTCGAAAATGCCGGATTTCGAGTCCGTGATAACAGATTTTTTAATCGATGTGTGCTCGAAGAGATGAAATGTGGCAAAAATTGAGGATCGGAGGTACTTTGTTGAACATTTGAAGTTCTAATAAGCTAACATTTTAGCATGCTTTGTATCATCTTACTATGGTAATTGTAATGCATGGATTTTTCCAATACTTGTTTTCTTTTCGTTGACTCCGATTTTGATTACTATGTCAAATGTGGATTCCGAGTCATTGATAACAGATTTCTTACTTAATGTGTGCTCGAAGAGATAAAATGTGGTGAAAATTGAGGATTGGAGATACTTTGTTGAACATTTGAAGTTCTAATAAGCTCACATTTTAGCATTCTTTGTATCATCTTACACTGGTAATTGTAGTGCATGGATTTTTCCAATACTTGTTTTCTTTTCCTTGATTCCGATTTTGATTGCTAAGTCAAATGTGGATTTCTAGTCGGTGATAACGGATTTGTTACTTAATGTGCGCTCGAAGAGATGAAATGTGGCGAAAATAGAGGATCGTAGGTACTTTGTTGAACATTTGAAGTACTAAGAAGCTAACATTTTAGCAAGCTTTGTATCAATTCATCTTACACTGGTAATTGTAGTGCATGGATTTTTCCAATACTTGTTTTCTTTTCCTTGACTCCAATTTTGATTGCTATGTCAAATGTGGATTTTGAGTCGGTGATAACGGATTTCTTGCTTAATGTGCGCTCGAAGAGATGAAATGTGGCGAAAATTGAGGATGAGAGGTACTTTGTTGAACATTTGAATTATCTAATAAGCTCACATTTTAGCATGCTTTGTATCATCTTACACTGGTATTTGAAGTTCATGGATAATTCCAATACTTGTTTTCTTTTCCTTGACTCCAATTTTTTATTACTATGTCAAATGTGGATTTGTTTCTGTTCTTGTTTGCCTGTAGTTTGCAAATTGAGCTTTAGTTTTATGTAGAGGAAATCGATCTTGCTGTGCCATGTTATCAATATCATCTAGTTTCAGGAGTCTCCGATATAGTTACATTACATGTCTACCATGGGATTTCTTCTATTTTTTTATGTACTCAGAGGATCGTATTGTATACCATATTCGAATATGTATTGGATGCTTGTTTTTAATGAGGCCTAATATTCCTATCAAAAATATATATGTATTGGATGCCATAGGTATATCTGAGGGAATAAGTAGTTTGGTTAACATAGACTTGTGATAGTTTGAATAACATAGCTACTTGTGTGATAGAGATAACCTCTAATCTCCTTCCCCCCAAAGATTATAGTATGCAAATGAGAATTATGGCTGTTGTTGAGTTATTAGGTTTAGCTCTGTGTTAGGCTCAATGTTTAAGATTTGCCATCTAAGTTTAAAGCGGAGAATGGTAGTCGGATGAAGCGTCCGCATGCCATGCACTTGGGTTTTTCATTTTTCATTGTTTAGGCCATAGATGAACAGGTTTTTATGATAGAGAGAACAGCTTCGTTTGCTCCATATGCTCATTTTTCATTGTTAGTGCATATATGCAAATGGTGGGAAAAGAATATTGGGAACATTGTGGGTGTTGAAAAATAGGGAATACCTGTGTGAATGCAAAGTTTGATTTAGTTAAGACAAAGAATAATGCCAAAATTAGTCTCCAAGGTTTTTAAAAATGGTCATTTTGTCTCCAATTCGATTTTTTAGAGCATTTTGGCTTCCTAATATTTTATTTTGGGGTAAAAAAGTCCATAACATTTAATAAAATAATTATTGTCCTTTTTTTTTTGACATTTTAACTTTCAACGTTTTATTTTAGATAATAAAAGCTCTTATCCCAATGTGAAACTTTCACGTTGGGGGCTAAAATGTTAAAAGAAAAAACTAAAATGACCGTTTAATTATTATTGGGTTAATTTTTGGCATTATCTCTTAAAGATAATGGGAGGAGAATAGTTCTAAAGCAAAGTATGCTTGTCTTTTGCTTTTCTAGTAACTGATAAGATCTGTATTATGAAAACTATATCCACCTTTACCTGTCTAAACTCCTGACTTACTAATTGAGAAACTATTAAAATTTCCTTTTATCTAAGTAATAATTAATATTATTATAAAAACTCTATTATCTTTTCATACCTTTTTTTAATAATTTTTAAATAAAACAATTAAAATGAGTTATTCCTTCTTCTGTATAACTTTTGGATAAGAAAATTAGAAAATACTTATCTAAACTGACTAAGTTTAGTTCGGTTGATGTTGTTGTCGATATGTTAAAAAAATGAGATCAAGTATACTTAAGTGTTGAATATACTTTGATTTAAGACAAGAAAGAGACTAAGTAATACATGTATAAAAAAATTAAGGGTAAGGTACGCAAACGGTCCCCGATTATACTACGTTATTTTATTGAGTCTTCTGACTATTAAAAATTACAAAATGATTTATTGACTATAAGACATTGTTTTGTTGAGTCTTTTAACTATTTAATGTTATAAAATGGTCCATCGACTATTCATATGTTCCAAAATTTTCTTGTTTTCGCTAAAAAATTAACGTCCGTCTGAGCTGGATGTTAACTTGTTGATTGAGATATAATAAAATCATATTTTAATGATGTCTGTTGGTATTGCCGTTGCTTTCAAACACTGGTTAGCCAGCATAATGTTTCAAGCATTGCTTGACGACATAATATAAATGGAGATTTGATTCACAAAATACAACTAAAATGATTCTGAAACCATATTTTATCATATCTCAATCAACATGTTAATGCTCATCTCAGACGGTCGTTAATTTTTTAACGGAAAAAGATAAGTTCGGAACATAGGAATAGTTGATCATTTTATAACTTTTAGTAGTCAGAAGACTCAACAAAGTTGTGCTTTATAGTCGGTGGATCATTTTGTAACTTTTAATAGTTAGAAAACTCAACTAAACAATCCTCTATAGTTGAGGGACTATTTGTATACTTTATCCAAAAGTTAATTATCTAGAGAACGAATATGTTTTTAAAATGATTTATATTGATTTTTTTTACCAGTCAATTTCTAATTATTATTAGATGATTTTTTTTAAAATGTTAACATCTACGATGTATGATTTTAAAGTAAAGCTCACCTCAGAATGTTTGGTCATTTTTCACCTTCTATGTTTTACATGCACATTAGTTTGTATCATGAGATATGTTGGTTCAGCCAATACCTCAGTGCGTCTTATTTAAATTTATCCAAATTAAATTCAAGCATTATTATTCTAATTTAAATATGAATTAATTCAATGTGAGATATCATAATTCATTAAATATGAGAATTTTGTAAGTTTGATTTTTTTTTTTTTGTAATTTGTACTTAGGAGAGGGAGAAAGGGAATTATGCTCTTAATGAGTATTAAACTCACAACCCATAAAAAATGAAATATATCAACTAAGAACTTTTAACGACCTGTTATAAAAATTGTTGACTAAGTTGAACGTTTCTTTAAATAAAAAAAATTTAATAATAAATATTTGCATATTAATATCTAAATTTGAATATTATATATAAAAATCTCTATATTAAAGTTATTGTATATTAAATCATAATATAACAATAATATCAACTAAATCAAAATCCAATCTATATTATTATAGGAAAATTCTATAACGCTTGACGAGCTCGTTGAGCGCCATTATTTTAATTTATAAAAATTTAAAATTCTAAAGAATTCAACGTATAATTATAAATTAGTTAAAAATTAAAGGTAAATTATTTAAAATAAAATATTAATTAATAATGATCAACAATATTTATCGTTAATGGTACTTAACGGTTTTTGTCAAATGTGGCAAATTCATCCATTATTATATCATATAAAAGTATAAAATGTCACAAACATTTATTTGGAAACTCGGAAAAGGTCAAAGTTTGTCACAAAAGACTTTTGGAAAGGTTAAAAAATGGTCTAAATAAGTTTTTCTTTTTTTATAATTACCCCATATTAATAAAAAGAAAATCTTAAATTTATGTCACAAATATTTGTTAGGAAGCTTGAAAGAAGTCCAGAAATCTAGAAGAATTGAAGTTTATGAATGAAGTTTCACTGTTCTAATTATTTTTGAATTAAAACAAAAATAATAATAAACTTTATGTTATCATCACGTCATTGCATATCAAAATATACACTACATTTTTCTCTTTCTAAGTAGACTTGACAAATTTGACCCATATCTGTTTATCCGAATGATTTATCTGGCATGAAATTCGATATAGATCCGAATAAGGTGACCCAAAATTGATTTGGAACCCGAAATAACACATATCAAATCAAAACCGACCCGAATTTTAGTTGGACCGAAAGTAATCTGTCAGAAAACAACTCGAACCAAACAAATCGAAAGTAACCCAAACCCAAAACAACTTAATTTAGTTTACTTATACTTGATCCGAACTGATTCGACCTGATTTTAAACTGATAATTGAGTCTAAGTGAATGAATAATTTATTTATTTATTTATTTCTGTTTAGAACTTTGATAAATAATAAAATTATGTATGTTTTATTCTCATTTTATATTATACTACTACTTAACCACCACTTCTAGTAGTACTTTAATTGTTTAATATAATTTTTTTCTCAGTTAAAAGATTATCTCTATATCTAATATAATAACTTCTAGCTCTGAATTTTAACTGTGACAATATATATTAACATAAAATTCTTGATTTTAAAACTCTGTTGATTTGATTGATTTAAACTAAAACTTATAGCTATGAATTTGGAATATGACAATATATATTCACACAAAATTCTTGAATTATAAGTAATAAAGAGAAATACCGAAAGCTATGACGAAAAAGAGCGATATCAGTTGACTTGCAAATCTAAAGGTTTTTACGAAAATATAAATGTTGACCCGAAGTGAAACCGATCAGAATTTACCCAGAAATCTAATGGTTGACTCGAACTAAAATCAACTGATCTGATATTGACCTGATCTGAAGTCAATCGATCTGATGTTAATCCAAACTAAAAACTAAATGATTCGATTTTGACCGGACCCAATATCCGACCTGAACTAAATTTTCATAGACCCGAACAAAATTCGAACAAGATCTGATCAGACTCTAACTAAATTCGAACAAGATCTGATCAGACTCTAACTAAATTCGAACCAAATCCAACTTGACATAAACTGAACCTAAATCGAATAAAATCTAGACCTAGAATAATCAAAC